CAGCCATGATGACCAGTTGGTAGCAATGGATCTCCTCAGGCTTGAGGGTTATTATAATTTGGCTTAATTTTTGTTGTTTGTATGTTGTCATAGCCTCTGTAGTTATTATGTTATTATGCAACTGGTTACAATGTTCCAGCTTCCTTGCACAGGGACCATTGGAGAGGACTGAGGGCACATAGATGAAGAGGCAAGAATCCTGGAGGGGTGGCGTATGGATAAAGTGAAGGTTTCTGTAGCCAGGATTCTCACCTTACCCTGGTTGGCTAGCTCACTACACATGAGTGGGCAATACGTTGCTATTGACTCTATGTAAAGAGCTCTGTCCAGTGCTCTGAGTGACATGGTGGCATGGCTGCAAGGCTTCAGGAGAGCAGAGACTGGGGTGGTGGCAGTGCCGAGGACAGAGACTGAGATGGCTTTGGGGGCAGAGAGGCCCAGAGGCAGAGACTGACTTGCTGCATGCAGACTCACTCTGAGGGATGGGATTCTAGTGATTGACCTGCCACTGTGGGGATAAAGTTGGGTATAAAACCTTTCACTCCAAGAATGTTCCGTTGTCAATTTTTGGTCTCACTGAATCCATAGTGAACTTGCTCAGGGCTGAAACCCACTGGCAGGACAACTGGGATTATGGATGAAGACTGTGGCTAGCCTTGATGGAAAGAAAACTTACAGCAGAGGCCCACTGAATTCTGGACCATGGAGATGTGCCTTGAGCAGGTAACCACCATTTCCTCCTTTCAAATATAGGAGTTGCTATAAATTTTTCCCTCTTTCTTCATTGTCTCTCAGTTTTGACTCTGGTGTGTTTGGGTATGAGCTAAATTTACCATTTATTTCAGAGATTGCAGAATAGTCAGATGGGCTCTAAAGAACCAAAGGAGAAATAGTTGTTATCTGGAATTAGTAGACTCTGAGAAGCATATTCCTCTGACATTATCTGTGGATTCTGTGGTCTGCTATTAAGCTAGGAGGCTGTGCCTCCTATTTTAGATATGTGGGAAGAAGTGATTGACAGCCAGACAGCTATTAAGTGGAATGTGGTAGACACTTTTAGAGGCACCTACCCACCTCACCACAGTCTGTCTTCTGAGAACTTCCCTGTAGTATAATCCACCCTCCAGTAAACCTACCCCGCAGCACAGCTGCCTGGAGCATGAGTGGACGCTATGCCATTTGGGTTTTCTTTTCCAGGAATTTAGAGTTCTGAAGAGAGAAACACAAAGTCTGGTGATAGTTGGAGCTGGGTCATATTGGCAGACCTCTAGGGGAAGTTCATAATTTTCAGCTGTTGAAGCCCTTGAGCCTTCCTGGCTCTTGCTCATGGCCTGGTGGTAGTGATGTGCTGGTAAATTTTTATCCACCCAACTCCTAAAAAATAAAGATGGAAAGAAAGAAAAAGAGCCCTGATTTCTAAGTGTTGGCTGAAAGCCATGGCATAAATACTTACACGAAGGCCGATAGCAAGCCACAACAGTGAAGTGACTCAAAAGGAGTTGGGAGGTATTGCATATAAGCGGGTATGAACCCGCTTCAGCACGCTGTCTGGTTGTCGACTCTCCCCTGTGTTCAGTGGCGCTCTCCAAGGACCTCCTGGTAATCTCCCTTTGGGATTTACACAGCTCAAGGGGGATATCTGTTCCTTGGAACCAAAGTATCTTTAACTAAACACCTAGCTGGCATAACCACCTTTTATTCTAAACAGTTACAGTGAATTCACTAAAAATGTGTTCTAACTTTGGCTGATTTTTCACAGCCACATACTTTAAATATTTATAGCTATTTTCATTTATTTATATCTATTTCTATAAATGTTTGGTGTTCACCAGGTCCAGAGGAATGTTTTTAATCACTGTAGTTGCTTAGGATAAGTGTTATCTTTGGAAATTCCTGCCGTCTGTTGTCCAGTACAGGGAACTACTTTTGTCTTAGCTGTGAATGTTACAGGTCTAGGGTGAGTTTGAGGCTCCTGGCACACCTATCAGGGACTAGTGCCAATGTATAGACAGTTAGGTATTATGCATATTGGGATTCTCAACTCATCACTTTTGACATTTTGAGCCAGGTAATTGTTGTGGGGGCTGCCTGTGAATTGTAAGACATTGAGCAGCACCCCCTGACCTCTATCCACTAGATATGAGGAACCACTTGCTCCCAAGTTGTGTCAACCAACAATTATCTTCAGACATTGCCAAATGTCCCTGGAGTCAGTCTGGTGGGCAAAGTCATCTTGGTTGAGAACCATTGCTCTGCACAGATGAAGCCAATTTGTCTCATGTGTCATTGACCTTAAGCAGCACTGAATTCAGCAGATTCTGCCACCAGGTTAGAGCCTGAGGCCCAGGCTGCAGCTCCCGAGTTCCCACACTCTGTGTATGATAGGAGGAAAAGTTTCAGGAGCCAAGTATAAAAGCTTCTGCTTTGTAATAGGACACAGAGTCCACAAAGTTAAAAATTTTTAATTAAAACACTTCTTATGAGGCATGATGGGAGTGGATATAATGAATCATTCATTCATTTAGCAGTACCTCTGCGATTGGTGGGGTAGTAGGTGCTGGAGCTGATGCAAAGCAGGCTATAGACCTGCCTTTAAGGAACTAACAATTCTAGATGGGTTTTTAGATATTTTCAGTTGTAAGAGGGAACCCAATTCCAACTGGCTTAAACAATACTTTTAAGGGACTTCATTGACTCACACATTCAAAGAGCCTGTAGGCAGTGCAGGCTTTGGGTAAGGCTAGAGCCAGTGGCTCAAGGTTGTCACTAAGGACTAGGTTTCCTTCAATGTCACTGCCCTTCCTGTCCTATTGTCAGTTTCATCCTAAGGTTGACCTCCATGTGGTCACCAGAGGTGTTAGTGGCAACCAGTTGTATAATTTCCTGAAAAGATCTGAGATTCACTATGATTGGACTAGTTTAGAATGACCTGCCTGAATTCATCAAGGGGATGGAAAGTGCTGATTGGCTTAGCCTGGATCACTTGCTCCGGTCATGGCACTGGTTTCTGTAGGAATCACACAGACTCCATAAAGAAGGCCAGGCATTGCTGAGACAGGGGAAAGAGCCCTGCAAATGCTGGGTGAGTGTGGGTCCTCGACCAGCTAGAGCACTTGCTTGGCCAATGATGCTTTTCATGTAGGCTTTGTCTGGTGGTTTCATCCGGGCCTAAGGCCTCGGCACCGCTTTGGTGGGTCTCAGTGAAAGTCTTACAGCAGATCTCTGTGCTGTACATCTGCTGGTCCCTCTAATACCTCATTCCCTCTCCACTCCTTCTCTTCTTTTGCAGCTCCATGCAGAGTCGGCCCTTCTGAGGCTATTTCCATCTCCGCAGACTTTCTTCCCTCCTACTCCCTTAGCCCTTGAACTTCCCTAAACCTTGTATCACTCGGGTTTTCATTTGTCTGCTCCTCTACCTTGGCTGTGTGATGTTTATACCTACATTCTGCCTCTAAAGAATTTTTGGTCTACCTATGTTCTCTCTTTTTAATACCTGACAATGGAATTGAAAACTTTTGGTGGAGATTCCTTTGGTGTCCTCAAATTTCAAGAACAAGATGGGTTAAAGTGTGTGTGTGTGTGTGTGTGTGTGTGCATGCCTATGACCAGGTGTGCATACTTGTAGGTGAAAGAGTGAGGAACACAGAACAGGAACTGTGGAAAGGGCAAAAGATTCAGTTAAGACGATACTGAGTTTGAATCCTAGCTCTGCACCCTGTTAGATCTGATGCTCTGCCCAGTGTATCCCCACTTAACCCAGCTTTCTCTCCTTAAAAATATGCATTGTATGTTATGCATTCAAGCTTTCTATGTTTCACACTTGTGACTATGCTACTATGCCTGTATTATTCGTTTATATAGGTACATGTAACAAATAGTACACTTAACAAATACTTATAACCGTAAGTATTGCCATAGCTGTGGTTCCTTTGTTAGTAAATCACATGGTGACTTTAGCTGGGAAAGATAAAAAATGTGTCATTCCAAGAAGGACAGGAGAAGTCAGGCCCTTCAGACCTTAAACTTCTCCCCTTTAGCTGCATGTGACCCCCAGTTAGAGGTGGAGTGGAGGAAGAGGCATGGCTGTCCCTTCCACCACCACCCTCTGCCCTGTCGTGCCCCCTGGGATACCAGCTGGGCATACCAGCTTATATCAGCCCTGCATGCACAATGTAAAGATAGGGATGATCACAGTCTTTTATTTATTTATTTTACATGATCCATTTTAACTAATTTAATGCACTTGGGGCATGGTTAGTGCATGAAAAGTGGGAAATGGTACAGCAGGGCCTGGGAACACATCTAGTTTTAAAAATATCAATTCTTATGCCAAAAATGCCCCATTTTAGGATTCTTCTGTGAAATTGCATTTTTCTTGATATGAAATATGGCCTTCCCTATGCAGTGTCAACACATATATCGTTGTCAGCTTCTCTGGTTTGAGCTTCAACTCAGCCATTTCCCAGCTGGGTGTCCTAACCTTTCTAAACTTCACTTTGCCCATCTGTACACTAGGAATAACTCCCTACTATGAGGGAATCATGTCCTTCTGTACCTCCAGGGCACCTCAGTACATCAGGCGAGGTCACCTTTGATCTTTATCACAAATGCACCTGCCCAGGCCTGCTGGAAATCCAACCTTTCCCGGGGGCTCCCCTGGCCAGATGTATGCCGGGAGGTCAAGACTAATAATTCCCAGTGGTTATGGCATTGTTTTCTCCCTCTGTCCTGGTGCCCACCCTGGGCTTCAGGGCAAGCCTTTTCTGGATGGTTCTTCTACTGGAAGTTAACTACTTCAGGGCATCATTTTGGAAAGTTCTATATAAGGACTTACTGCTTTAAAAGTTTGGAATTGCCATCATGTTCTTTCTATCTTTGTAATAATGGACACCCTTTTAGAAGGACATGAGAACTTCCAGAAGTCTAATAATTTAAAATTCTATAACTGACAATTCTGAACATTTCTGGGAGATAATGTACAATCCAAGACCAGACTGGCATATACTGAGAAAATAATTTATTCAATTGTAAATCTGGAATTTTATTATTTTTAAATATTTATCAGTAACTATTAGTGATATCCTAAGCTTCTTCATTTTGGATTTAGATTTAAGTGAATGAAAAAAAATTAAGATTCCCTCAAAAGTAAAGATCAGCTCTTTTTTCCAATCCTTCAGGACAGCTCATTTCTTTGGTTTAGGACTTTCACTATTAACTCTCCCTACTCCAAATGTGTCTCAGAAAACTTGAGTCAGAGAAGCAAGAGTCTCAACTGACAAGTGGCCTCTCTCTCTTTTTTAAAGTCCACCTTAGGGTTTTTGTCAGTTTTGTTTGCTTTTGCAGGGTTGTGAGATTTTTGGCAAGAACTGAAGGGTAGGAGGCACAGTAAAATGGTAGAGAAAATATAGGTTTCATTTTATCGAAGAATGCCATTGTGCTGAACATCAAGCCAGTGCAATGACTCTTGAAATAAATCACTTAAAAATGGAAACAACCTAAACTGGAACACAAGCAAAATATAAATATACCTGCATATGTAAATATTGCCTCCTAACCCTTTTTACAATGAATTGCTTAACTTTAAATATGCAGGATGTCACAGCTTCTCTTAGAGAAGGGAATTGAATGTTCTTCTGTCCTGAGGACTGGGTCTCCATTGCCTTCCCCTCTACTTTTGATGTAAGATCAACTTATTATATGCATCTGGCTGTTACACTTCAGTAGCGCAGATTGGGCAGGGGAAACTGAGGTAACTTGATGGGAGGGCTTTTCCTCCAGCCCACTCCTTGATGCCAGCCCTCCAAATTGCAACATGATGGGCTGAGGGACCCTGAGGGTTAAAGCAGGTGGTGGCGGGACTTGCTGATGACTGACTGTCCTGAAGCACAGATCAGGGATGACTGGCTATCGTCATGAAGCACAGGTCTGGGAAATGCAACTCCTTGCAAGAGTATTTAGTTCACAGCAGGCCTTGCCGTCTCTGACGCCATCCACTTTCTCTGGCCAGTGATCTGAAGACACAAGTTGCAGAGTCTGCCAGATGCAACGTGACTGGGGCAAAACAAGAAGCTCTTTCTATTCAAGTCCCTGCTACTCTGGGGTTGTGGGGTCGAGGAGGCTGGAGACCACCCACACTGCCTCCCATTTAGTGCCTGGCTCCACACTGCATTCAAGGCCAACCCCATGCCCTGTGTCCCTCAGAGGTGGCATTGCACCACAGTGATCAGCCTACTCTCTTTCCACTCTCTCTTTGCTATTTCATGGCCAACTCATGCCATGAGTTTGAGGCTTTGTTTTTACTTCATATTCAGATTCCCCGTGACTCCCAACATTCACCACCATGATATCCTTTGGGAATCTTGACCAGTCTTTTGCACAGAAGCTAAACAACATCCTGATGAGAAAAGGACATGAACTACAAATGGCCTGAAGCAATTTGCCATTGAAACCACTTGAGAACTGCCAAGGTAGACTGTGTTCTTAGAGTTTTGCTGCAAGCAACTCTTATGCTGCTAGACCTGGAGACAGGAAGATGCGGAAATCAGGGGGAAAGGCCACCCCTATCCCCATTTTATCTTGTTGCCAAGCACTTCCCTTAGCATCCTATTCTCCAGTACATATCGTCTGGCACATGTAGAATGTTTCTGGCTTCTTCTTTGCCTGTGATACTTTTTTTTTTTAGTTCAGTTGATAGCATTGTCCCTCAAACCCAGAATAGATAAGAAATCACTGGGAATTAACATTTGATTACCATAGGTTCATTCTCCCATATTATTACAAGGCTCAAAGTTACAAGGAGAAACAGTATGTAGCTGCTGTGTTGGTGTTATGTCAGCTTTTTTTTTTTAAGTTAAAATTGTTACGTTTGTAAGAAAGTAGCCAGAATATCCTCTCTCAAATTCAGAAGTCTACTGGCACAATTTAAAGTCAGATGTTATTTCTAACCAAATTATACTCTTTTGTCTGCCAAGATACTTTGACAATCTTAATATCTGAAGGCAGGCCTATGTGATAATCCCAGCAATATTCTGGGGATAAAATTTTAGTGGGTTTGTTGAGAAGGAAATACTTGTTTAGGTGGCTTTCATCATGCCACTTGGCTTCTATGTCATTTTTCTTGTCCTGGAGGATTCCCTTGAAGCACTCTTGTGTGATGTTTAGAACCTGACTGGGTGTTCCTCCAAAAATGGCTGCATGGTAATAAAAATCCCCCTGGCCGAAGGGAATGTATGCTGCAGACTCCTTCCGCCTCTCGTAGGTAAACTCATCATGATCTGCCTTGTACCACCAGGCCTGTAGTTGAGCCACGGACTGGCCAAGAGTCTCTACTCCAAAGCTGTCTTGGAAGACCTGGTCCACATCCATGCAGAAGAGAAAGTCTACTTCATGCTGGATGTGGGCCACAATGTGCTCCCCGATTGTCTTCATGCGCATCATGCTGATATCCTGCCATCTGTTCTCAGAATTGATCTCAAATACCTTGAAGGAACGTAGGGGACCCAGCTCTATCAAAGGCATCCTGGAGACATCGTCTACCATAATGTAAAATATGACTTGGTGGCCAACCATGAAGTATCTATTAGCAGATGTTAAGAACTCCTCCAAGTAATGCTCAATGTATCTGAAACAAAGAAGAATGGTATAAATGTAACCTCTGGGTTTTCTGCAGAAGACTACATGCTGTTCTTACCATCATCTTGTCTACACTTTGCAGTTAAAGATAATGATTTTCCCCATTCCAGATGTGGAGGGACTGCTGATACTTAACAGTTCTGGCCACTCTCCACTTTTCAGCCACTCAGCTTGGGGGAGGTGGAGTGACTTATCTAGCTGCTAATTTTGGAAGGGCCACTGGGCGTGCACAGCCCTGCCTCCTCCTCTCTTGCTCTTGGAAACCGGCCAGTTGGAGAGAGCACGTGGTTTCAACTGTTCTGCGCTTTACAGTAATCTCTGTGGTACAGGTCCTACTCCCACGTCCGGAGGCCTGCAGCTTCCAGTGCTGTAGACGCCTGAGTGTCTTAAGTTTATCTAACTCTGTGGTTCAATATTAGGAGGCCCAGAGTCTACAGACAGAAGCCACATTCTCCAACACCAGCTTTAACTGTAATGAGGTGGCATAACTATCATCTACCTCACTTAGCCCTTTGTCTTGTTTCTCAGTTGGTACAGATTTTGGGCAGGCAAAGGGGACAACAGTTCTTTAGTTTTCAGCTTTATTGAAATATAATGGACATATACAATTGTGTAAGTTTAAGAGGTACAGTGTTGCAAAATGATTACCACTGTAGCATTAGCTAATACCTCTATCATGTCACATAATTACCATTTCTTTTTTTCAATGAGAACATTTAAGATCTACTCTTAATAACTTTCAAATATGTAATATAGGGTTATTAACTAAAATCACCATGGTGTACATTAGATCCCAGAACTTAGCATCTTACAATTGGAACTTTGTACCCTTTGATCATCATCAGGGGGCACTGGTTGCTGAGCCTCCCTTAAAACCTTAGCCTATAACCCAGTGTTATTGCTACCCTTCCAGATGCAAGGGCATCGTGACCCCTGGATCCTTTGGGGATTAAACCTAACCATCACCACTCTCTTATCCTCCTCTGAGACTTAGAGAATGGGTCATAGGACATGGATATCCTTTCGTATTACATATCTACCCTGTGAGCCTCCCACTAGTTACCCAAACCACCCATCCACTGTCCAGACACCATCATTACAAAATCCAGTCTCTGATTTAACTACAACAACTGTTTTCCTTTAAAAAAAAGAAAGAAAAAGTCTTATTTTTTAGGTCATTTTTATGCTCACAGCAAAACTGAAACCAAAGCACAGAGAGTTCCCATATACCCACCCTGCCCTCTCTGCCATCCACAGCTTCCCCGACTATCAACGTTCAGCACCAGGGGGTACATGTGTTGCAACTGATGAATCTACACTGACACATTATTATCCCTCCAAATCTGTAGTTTATGTTAAGGTTCATTCTTGGTGGTGTATGCTCTGTGGATTTGGACAAATGTTTATAAATGTTTATATCTACATCTTTTGTATATCCATACAAATCTATCATGTTTGGTATTATACAGAGTATAATACACTGCTCTAAAAATCCTTTGTTCTACCATTCCCCCACCCCAATCCCTGGTAACTACTGATCTTTTTTACTGTCTCCATAGTTTCACCTTTTCCAGAATTTCATATAGTTGGAATCATACAGCATGTATTTCATATAGGCTTCTTTCTCTTGGTAATGTGTATTTAAGGTTTCTGCATGTCTTTTCATGGCCTGATAGCTCATTTCTTTTTAGTGCTGATAATATTCCACTGTCTGGATGCACCACAGTGTATTTATCCATTCACCTACTAAAGGATCTTGGTTGCTTTCAAGTTTTGGCAATTATAAATAAAGCTGCTATAAATACCTGTGTGCTGGACATAAGTTTTCAACTATTTTGAGTAAATACCAAGAAGCACGATTGGTGGATCATATGGTGAGAGTATGTTTAGTTTTGTAAGACACTGCCAGAGTGTCTTCCAGAGTGGCTGTGCCATTTTGCTTTCCTACCAGAATGAATGAGAATTCCTGTTACTTCACATCCTCACCAGCATCCGGTGTTGCAGTGTTTTGGATTTTTGCCATTCTAATAGATGTGGAGTGGTATTTTAGCTACTTATCTATTCATTCAAAAAAAACCATGTTAATGTCTTCGGTAACGCAAGCTATGCACTCTGTGAAGCCATGGGGGGTCACAGAGAAGAGGAAGGAATCATGCAAACCCTAGATTAATGCTCAGTGAATGTAGACTGAATTTAATTTGCTGGTCCTACTACCAGGCAATCGTGGTATACTGGCACTTCTTTCTGTGTTTTGGTTGCTGCTTGGATTTTCTTTCTTTACTACCAAAACCAAGGTGTGCTTTTCATGTTGGCTTCTGGAAACTCAAGAGTTTACTGCGTTGATTCTTTAAATGGAGAGACAGTATCTGAGCAGTATAAAGAGGGACTTTGAGATGGCTCTGTGGTTGGTGGCCAGGAAATCCTCTAGCACTCCAGAACTTTAAGAAAAATCTATTGTGTCCTAAAGCTTGGGAGACAGTCCTTGGTGGGAAGAGAGGAAGCCACAGTGAGGTTTAACATTGTTTAGAGATTAAAGCACTGCTGTTGGCTCCCTGCACTGCTATTTGAAAACAAACCAAACATCACACCTCCTAAAAGTCCAAATCTACTCTTGTGAGGATTTATTGCTGCTGAGTACAAACAGTGCTCCCATGCCTCAGAGCAGAGAGCACGGGTCTTTTACCAGGACAGGTGATTTACAGTTTAGTTCTGCAGAGTTGTGCCTGGATGATGGAAGCCACTGTGGAACAGTAGGCAATATTCTGTTCATTTTGGAAATATTAGGATCAAATCAATCTGCAGCATGGCTGGCTTCTCCCTCTTGTGCCAAAGGATTAGGTGAGCTGAGCACTGGCCCCTGAACTCATAACAGTACAGATTCTTCCAGTAAAAGTACCAGAACTCCAGAGTCAGGATTCTAACTTCCCTGTTAGAGATGCTCCCTAGGTCCCTGGAATCAGCACAGTCAGTGACATTAGGACTTGATAAGTATGGTGACAGCAGTGGCTTCTGGGCTCTGGGTTGGAGAAGGCCTTAGGAGAACTATGAGATCTGCACAAAGCTCTCCTTCAGGGCCTCTGGTGGACAGAGCCTAGGCGCAGATTAGCCTGGGCTTTCACCTGTCATTGTACAGGCAAAGGGATCACCTTCCAATGTGGTTTTCAGAAAAGGTACAGATGGAAAGGTCTATGGCGGCGTGGGGACAGGAAAATTGAACTCTTGGTTTTGTTTTGGAAAAAGAAAAAGAAAAAATTCTCCAAAAGACCAAATGGGTAGTATCTTAAAACTTATATTATAGCTAGTAATTTCAAGTAAGAATGATTGCAGTTTGGGGAGAAACATTCTAAACAAGTTAATGGAAGCTGAAATAGAAACCTATCCAACCTCTGGAAGATGAAGCCAGCCGAATCTCGGGGGGCCAAATCCCCCAGGAGGGTAGGGTAGAAGGGACCCATGGAAAAGTGGTAGCCATGCTCTGACATGGGGGACCACTGCTTAGATGACTCTGGACCATGAACTTGCTGTGCATTAGCCCTGGGTCTTGAGAATGTAGGAGAAAGAATGATGCACATTGGGGCTGTCTAATAGCCGGCATGCGGGAAATGTGCAGAGAAAGCCGTAGAGGTGAGGGAGGTGGTGGTGGGCGTGCTGTAGACCCTGGGCTCAGTGAGTCTAGCAGACATTTTTACCTGCAACCCAAGATCCTCACTTTGAGCTGGGAAGGAGTTGACTTACCTGCTATTTTGTTCACAGCAGAGATGAAATAGACGGTCCCATTATTACATTCTCTACTAATAATTCAGACAAGTCAGGAACCGCCTCCATAAGCCCAGGGGCCCACTCACAAACATTTGACAAAGAAACAAGAAAAAGTTGAGGTCAGTTTTATTAGCAACACCTACCTTCCAACAGCAAAAACTGTCAAACCCACAGTAATTTTCTGCTCGGTGTAATAGTTTTCTAAGATGGCTCTGTCGTAAGTGCCTTCCCACACGACCGGTGCCTTCCATCCAGTTACCGTCACGACCTCTGGGCGCTTCCTGGTGACAAAACAAAGAGGCCCAAGTGTTAGGTAGGACAATTTTACTACGGTGGGGTGGAGACTGTCCAGGGAAAAACTGGGGTCAGCTATGATTTACTGGGATTGTCCTTGAATCCTGATGGTAACTTAACTCTAAGCAGTCGGCTGGGTGGTATGACATTTACTGGGGCAGCATATTCTGGGTAAGGGACAGGAGGCTCCGAGGCTGTCTTACGGAGATCTGCCTGTACCCCTCATACCCTCTCTATCCTCTTTCCCTGCTTTCTTTGTTCTCTTCTTCCTTCTCCCCAGCTGCTTCTTGGACTGCCAGTGGCATCTTTGGGTGTTATGTATCCCTGTAGGTGCCATCTGAGCCTAAGAAGGCCCAATCCTTGACACAGGGGGATGAGGAGAATGACATTACAACTGAAAGAGAGAAAGCTATTTCAATTTGTCTTTTGCCAGAAAGGGATTTCTTGGTAGGAACTTGGTTATAGGCCAAAAAGCACTGCCCCTGGTTAGGGGCTCTGGAGTTATTGTTCATATGACAAACAAGGAGACAAGTCATCCAGAAAAGAAGGGACTCGAGAGAGGCCCAGCATGGCCACAGCTGGAACCCAGGGCTCTGGCACAGACCCTCTCCTCAGACCATGCTGCCTCTTTACCAGGAGCAAAAAGGGGCAAAGGGACGCATGTTTTCTAAACTCACAGGGCTTGAAAGGGACTTGGCAAAGCCAGCACAAACACAGGAAACAACACAAGAGCAACGATAAACTGGCAGACTGTAAAGGGTAAATGTGGGAAGGCTGCACGGAGCAGCTGGGGCCCAGCATGAGGCGTAGCCAGAGGCAGAAGAGGTGGTAGAAATTCAGCTCTGACCACCATTTGCTCAGGAAGTGGCTGCATTTCCCCTGCTGGGAAGCAGAGGCTGAAATACAGTCATTTAGATTCAAACCCCAACACTAAGGAGAAGGCCAGTGATTGGGCAAAGTCCTGGTGGTCCCCGTCCATCCCTGCTGGCTGTGTGCAGGTGGCCCAGTCGAGGAGTTACCAGCAAACAGAGCAGGCCAATGAGAACTTCCCTCCAGCCGCACACATGTGTGGGTGGGTGGATTTCACAGAACTGGCTCTATGCCATCAGCAAAGCTTGGGTTTTCCACATGAAACCCCACTTTGCCCCAGCCCGAATAGAAAAGAGCCTCAGCAGCCTCTCTCTGCCTCCTGTCTCTGTCACCAAGCTCTGCACTCCCACCCCAGCCCTGTGACCTGCTTCCTGCTTCCCTACTGCAGAGCTGAACTGCAGGTGGGAGGGGGACACTGTTAGGCAGCTCTCCTGGCTCCCCCCAGCATGCCCAGTTCTGCCCTCACATCCCAGGTGTGCCGGCTGCATGGAGGACAGCTGCTCGTGGTTTCCTTCCGTCACGAAAGAAGCTACTTTGGACTCGTAGGCAACCTGTGCCCGGCACCTTCACATACACCTTCTTATTTCATCCTTGCAACATTCCTGCCATGTACTATGTCCACTGTATAGTAAGAAAACCAAGGCTCAGAACTTGTTAATGTGTCCCATGCTGAGGTGTGATTTTGGTTCCCATTCTCTCAATGGGGAAACTGCAGCACAAAGAGGTTAAGTAACTCGCCCAAGGTCACACAGCTAGTAAGGGCCAAGGCTGGGATTTGAACTGAGAGTCTGACTCTGGAGTCTGTGTTCTGAGCTACTACCCCCCTATATTGCTTTTTGTATGGACATTTACTTGCTGTGCTGGGGTTAAAACCCAGATTTGTCATTATTTCCACTCAGCTACTTCGGCATTTTTATCAGTGCAGACTCAAACGATGAGCTTTTGTTTGTTGTTCTTAGAAGCTTACATGAAGCTTGTAGTCACATTAAAACCCCAGGTTTGTGGAATGACAGGATTTCCAACCAAAAACCAACACAAAGAGACATACCGCAAGCACAACTTCTGCTTCCATGACCGATGTTTGAGAACAGAGCTCGGCCCTGTACTACCACCTTATTCACTGCAGGCCTCAGTTTCAGTCTGTCAAGGACTTTTTAGTAGATCTGACACAACCTGCTAGGTGAGTCTTGCAGCTGTGCATGAGCTGGACATTTGGTAAACAGGTAATTTATTTAAAAAGAAAGAAAAGGAGTAAGTATACTTACTTGGCGCTTAAAGTGCACAGGGGCTAAGTACTTGACTTTCATTCCCTCACTGAGCCGCACAACCACCTTATCAAGTGCGTGCTATCATCAGCACCATTTTACCAATAAAGAAAGCAGGGGGAGGAGAGAAGGAGAAAGAAACTGTGCCTTTGGCCTTTTAATTTATAGGAAGGGCACTCGATCCCTCTGGGTGCATTTCCTAAGTCCCTGCTCTGCCCCAGGCCCATGGCTGAGCGTGGAGATCAGAGAACTGACGCCTGTCCTACCCCTTGGGAATCCTACGGCCGACAGGTAGTCAGCCTGCAACACACTCCTCAACTGCATGACCACTCAACCCAAATCCTCTAGAAAGACTGAGTCATTAAACCAGTGTCCAGTTTTATTACTTGGCTGGAAAGATTCCTTCAGGCAGGAAAAAGAAAGCAATATTCAAAATTAATGTTTAATTAAAAATTAAGATCTTCTATTTCCCATCTGCTAACTATTACATTCCATGGACAATTCCAACACATCAATGACCCCGGCTAAGAAGCCAGAGGAC